TATTATTGGTAAACCTATCAATAAAATGCTCAAAATAATCAGAGAGTAAACAATTACAGTATGGTAGGCAAATAGCTAAAAGTAAATATTTAGTACTTCATTCAAAATCTACACTCAATAAACACTATCCATTTTTTTTCCTATGAAATTTTAAATCATTTTAATCTTAGGAGAGTAGGTTAAAGAAATAAAAATCTAACCAAGGGCATAAGACTTTTTGCAGGCTACAGGGCCTAATGAGAAATGGCCCTCTTATTTATATCATTTCATAGCTACCGTGAAAATAAAACATCCTCCAAAAATAAGACCTACTTACAGGTTTCTTCTGAGTGAAATATAAGGCATCCCCCGAAAATAAGGCCCCCCTAGGCTCTGTCTCAGAATGAAAATTAATTTACCATAAACTGGTCACTAGGGGGCATGGAAATTAATGACTACATTGAAAATAGAATAGAGAGAAATCAGCGTGGAAACTTTGTGAAACCTAAACTGCAAGAAGTTGTGACTTGGGTGAAGAATTCATGGAAGAAAATCACTGACAGTTGCATTGCAAATGCACTGCGAGCAGGCTACCTTGACAAGAAGTACTCATTTAAAGACAGTGCTATTGCTAAACATGAGAGATTTGGTCCACTGATTCTGAAAGAAATGGAGTCACAAGAATTCACCAGGAAATTCAGGAATTGGATTGTTATGATGATGTTCCAGAAGATGATGACATAATTGTCATTGAATAAATGAGTAAATTCTTGATACTGTAGGATTCAGTTTGTCTGGTTTGTATTGACAACTACCGTACTACCAAATGGTCGCTTTATGAACAGCCACCAAAATAAATTTCCTTTATTTTCATTTAACAATAAATGTGTACCATATTCTTCTTCATGGAAAAATAAGACATCTCCTGAAAATAAGACCTAGCGCATGTTTGGGAGCAAAAATTAATATAAGACACTGTCTTATTTTAGGGGAAACAGGGTATTCATTGATTTACTCATTCATTGGTTCATCCAACAGTCATTTGTAAACACCTACTAAATTGAGGGAATAACTATAATCTGCAATTTCATGGATTTTAGTCAAGGAAATAAAGGTGAGAGGTAGTTTAAAGGCTCTTTCAGACCTGAGGGACCAGGTGTTGGCATGGAGAAATTGTAGACAGGACAGAAGTAATGTACCCAGCCTGGTATCTCACAATATTAGTTACATTGTTGACAGGGGGGTAATTTTCTATACTCAGAGTATGTGCCTCATCTCTGATGACAGGAGCCCCATGAAGACTGCTAAGGGGTAGACTGGAGTTACACAGAAACTGGTCAATAAGTGACTCAGGGTTGATGCCTCAATCATTCCCTCCTGGAGGATAACCCCCAGGGCTGAGGAAACCAATAGGTACAAAATGTCTGTTAGGTGTCTGGCACCTGGTGGCTGTTCATAAAGCGACCACTTGGCTGTAGGTAGGGAGAATTCATGGGGTGGAGCACATCGTTCCCTCATGTTACTCCCCAAACAAAACAGCATTAATTATTAGAAGTTTCTAACAAAAGACAATTTTAAGACATATAGGATTGAACAAGTAACAAATATATCTGACGCTCAAATTATAAAATCGAAAATGTTGGATTTCCAATCCTAAAATAAATAGGAAACAAAATTAAAACTCCAAGATTGAATGTAACATGGAAAAATACAAATTTGAGACTTTTCACAGAGCAGTCAATAGGAAGCAACCAAGAAAACCAGGGAAAGGAGATAATCTACCTGTTTGGAAACAGTCAGGAGTTAGTTGCCTTGGCTACAACCATGAGATTTTCTTAAACCTGTCAGTCTCCCAGGGGATAAAGTGTACAGGAATAATTCCCCCCAAAAAAATACATCCAAAAGGGGATTGTGGAGGGAAAAAAAGCAGCTCATACAGAAAAACAATAAACAAACAAGAAAATCTGTATGTGACAAGCAAAAAAATTTCAACATGTTTTGAGCTTCTTGGAAACTGGGCCAAGTCCAAGCATTGCTGGGATTTGGGTAAGATTTCATTCCTAGCTCTTTGTTCTAGATGTTCATGTTTTCTTTTTTTTCTTTTTTTTATCTTATATTTTATTGATTTTTTTACAGAGAGGAAGGGAGAAGGGATAGAGAGCTAGAAACATCGATGAGAGAGAAACATCTACCAGCTGCCTCCTTCACACTCCCCACCGGGGATGCGCCCGCAACCAATGCACATGCCCTAGACAGGAATTGAACCCCTGGGACCCTTCAGTCCCCAGACCGATGCTCTACCACTGAGCCAAACTGGTTTTGGCTCATGTTTTCTTTTTCACTCACAGGTAGAGCACACACTAGCACTAGCCCAGAAGTGACATGTGTTCTGCTCTGAATAACCAACTGGAGATTTTGAGATTCAGGATGAGGTGAAACTGAAACTTGCTGCTTAGCCAAAACTTAATTTAAAATTCTTTGTTATTTTAGGGAGAAATTCAACAAAAGGTTGTTTTAAGTAACCAGTTTCCAATTCACATAGCATCCTTGAAGTCGTAAGAAAACAGAACTTTTAGCTCCAGAGCTCGGGACTCAGGCCAGAGAAATTTATATCAGTCCAAGTTCTACCTGTAATTTTCCCCACCATGTCCTCCCTCCCTTCAGAGGTGTGGCCCTGGGCCTGGAGGCAACTCCTCTGTTCTTTAGTTCCTTCACTTGGAAAATCAAGGTACTGGACTAGAACCATGGTTTCTGAGCTTCATGTCACGGAACCCTCGCTGTTCCATAGAAAGTTGGGACTTTGCTAGAGAAAAGACCGGGGACAAAGTAGGGGTGATGTAGGTGGGACTCCCAGGCCCCATTTCCCACTTTCATCAGAGCATTTCTTCTTTTTCTGGTTTAGGAGCTGGTTTTCCAAAAGGATTTTTTTTAAAAGGATATAATCGGTTTTAAAAGTTGGCAAACTTCTAAATTGCAGGATCTATAGACTTTTGCAAGAGTTAACATTTTATGAAACTCTCCCAGAATGATATCTTATGTACTTTTCTTTCCAGTGCGGATGGTGACAGTGCTGTTCTCTTGAGATAATCTTGTTCCCCAGGCCAAGAGCGGGGGGCAACCTCCTCACACTGACCAGATCCCTTAATAGCCAGGGTGTGTCAGCCCCTCCTTGACTTTGAGACCCAGTCTGCATTCAGCCTCCAACGTAAAGAGCTTCTTGCCCTGCTTTCCTCACCCATGCTGAGGTCACTTCCATCACTAATGCTCTAAGGTCACTGCCCCGACCCCTATCTCCTTCGGTGAGAAGGGCAGGATTTCATTTTTGTGAGAGCTTCTTCCACTTCCTTGTACCTTTTTGAACTCCACATGGATGAGGAAGTTGTGGTTAAGTGAAGAAATACATTCTTTTATATCAGTCCCACAATATTGAAGCAACATATTTTTTGCATATGATGTTGTTCTTAGTGTAGGGAGGGAAACAGAAGTCTGTAAGGTGAGAAAAGTCATGAGAAAGCAAATCTGAGATGCCTCGAGGAGAAAGACAGGAAGGTGTTTCTCAACTTTATGTCTCATTTAAACCCTTTCAAGGAAGGAAGGTAGGATGCAAATACAGGAAGCTACAATTTAGACCAACTTTTCTCTCCAAAACTGGAATGGATACCACCAATATAATTGGATGTTGAACATGGATACATGAAGGGACATTTTTCGTGACATAGCCATGTGTTTATGTTAATGTGCATGCAACAAGAATAGTTCATTTAGCTATAACTTTAGAGATATGATAACCTAAAAAGAGAGAAAACTTTTAAAGTAAATTTAAAAATAAAATAATACCAGAGGTGGCACTAGTATTGGCAAAGATTTGGCAAAATTTATGACAGAAGTAGGAGGATTTATGAAAGTCAGGAAAATTAGGGCTGTACCAGCTCCAAAGCTTCTCCTATACGAGCACTTTTTGGTAAAACTAATCTGTGCAACTTTATACAGACTTCTGTTAAAGCCATCTTAAGTTGTCCCAAAGATGCCTATTTATTAATTAGCCTCTTCCATAGCAGTTGGTGCACAGAAGGTGCTAAATAAGATCATTTGAAAGAACGAGTAAATATATGAATGGATGCACACATGTAAGAATAAATAATTGCTGCCTGGCTCAAGGAGCAAAGATGTGTTCATATCCAGGGGAACATGGATGATTAAAAGTAAGACCCTAGACTCACATTTGATCTTCTCCAGCCTCTGCCCAACCTGGTACATTCTGACAGGTTTCAGAGAAGAATCTTACTTTTCCCATGATGCCAATGGGCAGGGCCAATGGGGTGGGCCTAGTTCTCATAGGCCACCTATGAACTAGGATCGTCTTAGCCAAGGTTCTCAAATCCTGGGCCTGAATAAAGATTAAGGGAAACCATAATGCTATGCAAATAGTGTAGTAGGCAGCTCAGCAGGGAACCCCACTGAACCAGGAAAACTATCCGAAGGTGAATGTCTGTGGCACTAAACAAACTCCAGTCACTTCAGGTGCTGAGTAAACATAGAGCCTGTGATGTCAGCAATCCTGACCTCTGCCTTGGAAGCAAGGTGTGTGTATAGCCTGGATCACTTTATAACAAGCAGAATGAAGACCTGCTTTTAAGAGGTCGTGGAGTCCTCTGTGATCTGTGTCCTGCCTAGCAAGGCCTTTCTCAAACAGAATAGAAACAAATGAAAGAAAACAATTGTTTACCTGTTTTAGTGTGTCTCCTTCGCAAGCATCCTGTCTGATATTAATCATAACATTGCAACACCAAGCGAACCCAAGTAATCTACTTGGAGTCACCAGTTCTGAAGATTGCTCATGCGATTCCCTGCTAATCAAGAGGATGTTATGAAATGTGACTCAGACCACTTCCGGTTTTCCAGAAGAGCAAGGGTTCTCTATAAAAAGAGGGATCTTCCTAGCTGAGGTATTGGAGCAGCAGGATTCCTTTAGCTGAGAAGCCATCAGATTTCTTTAGCTGAGAAGGAAGACAGAGGTCAGCATGCTCGGCCTTCTTCTGCTGCTGCTGCTCTGCGGCCTGGGGTCTCAAGGCTTCCCAGCAAGGTCTTTAAAAATGCCAAAGGATGCTGAGCAGATGGTCCAGGTAAATGCTGAATTTCAATGCCAGAAATGGAAAAGCATTTATTTGCATTTTCCCACTGCATATCAGAGTAGTGGTTGTGGGCATGATGAAGTTTACTTAAGGGTGGATTTTCTACAAAGAGACATTTTTGTTAGAAAGCTCATTCTCCTCCAAAATGTATGTATGCATAGATGCTCCCTTTCTAGCTGGAGGTGAAAGAAAACTAAAGGAATGATATGCAAATGCGGCTCTACAGATTGTATTTCTGACTTCATAGTAGCTGATGGCAGTGAGATTTGCCTCTGAGTTATAGCTTCCACCAGAGATAAAGATAATAAGGATCATGAAATCCAAGCACAGTCTTTCAAAGGATTTCTCTGTTTCACTGTCAATCTTGGGAAAGATTTCCCGTCCGGTGTTTCAATAACACTATCTTTCCTCAGCAATACTTGGAGAACTACTATGACCTGAAGAGTGTTGGGGAACAAATTGGACTAATTGGAAGGCAGAGAAGGGGTAGCCTCGTGGTTGAAAAACTGAAGCAAATGCAAAAATTCTTTGGGCTGAAAGTGACTGGGAAACCAGATGCTGAAACCCTGAAGATGATGCAGCAGGCCAGATGTGGGGTGCCGGATGTGGCTGCATATGTCCTCACTGAGGGGAACCCTCGGTGGGAGCAAACACAGCTGACCTATAGGTAAGGATGGAGAATGCTACCTTCCATCACAGCTGTAAGAAAGGAAGTCCTTTATGTCTCTATTCTACTGCATTTTTAGGATTGAAAATTACACACCAGATTTGTCAAGAGCAGATGTGGACCGTGCCATTGAGAAAGCCTTTCAACTCTGGAGTGCTGTCACACCCCTAACTTTCTCCAAGGTCTCTAAGGGTCTAGCAGACATAATGATATCCTTTACCAGGGGAGGTAAGTTCTTCTTGCAGCATGAATGTATTCTCACCTTAACTTCGCCTGACCCCTAAATCTCTTAAGCTTCATAGTTCAAGTCCTTGTTTAACAGGAGTATTGGTTTTTTTACTAGAGGCCAGGCGCATGAAAATTCATGCACTGCCTGGGGGGGGTCCCTCACCCTGGCCTGCCCCCTCTCACAGTCTGGGAGCTTTCAGGGGCAGGAGCTTTCAGACCCAGCTATCAGGGAAGGCAATGCCCCCATCACACCCCTGCTGCTGCCACTGCCAGCAGTGCAAGCCTCAGCCAGCTCTCCTGACCTGAGCCTCGGGTAGCCCTGGGTGGCTGGGCAGCCAACATCTGAGGCTTGCCTGAGCATGGGCACTGCCATCTTTGAGGGCAGGTCAGTCAATTAGCATATTCTCTCCATATTGGCTGTGGGTGCCACAATCTTTGAGGGCAGGACAGTAAATTAGCATATCCCCCCTATTGGCTGTGTGCACCACCATCTTTGCAATGGTATGAGGGTTAAATAGCAAATTCCCTCTTTATTAGATAGGATGGGCTTAACGGGGAAACTATATCACATTGAATAGAAATCTTTTGGCCTTACAGCAAAGCAAAAGCTTCTCTCCCATGCTGCCTTAAATAACCAACGGGGACACCATTGAATTCTGTTTTTTGCAGATCATGGTGACAACAGTCCCTTTTATGGACCTGAAGGCAACCTTGCTCATGCTTTTCAGCCAGGCCCACATATTGGAGGGGATATTCACTTTGATGAAGACGAAACATGGACCAATGATCTCAGACGTAAGTCAACTAGCCTTGCCTTTATCAATTTTCCCCACCCCTTTGTGAGGCATGTAATAATTGGTTGATTTAACTGAAAGAACACTTTAATGAAAATATGTATTTACCACTACCATTAAGAAAAGTCATGATACATTTAGAAAAGGGTAAGAAAATAATTTTCCAATAGTAACAGCATTTTATTAGCTACAGATAGGCCACACTAAAATCTCTATTAAGAAAATGTTAAGAATCCTAACAGTTTACCTGTAGGCATCTCTAATTTTTTTTTTTTTTTTTTTTACTAGCAGACATACCAAAATTTAATAGTGGTTGTAAGATTATATGGAAATTAAGGGAGGAGAGGCTTATGTGTTTTACAAAATTTCTTACATGAAGGATGTATCAGTTTTTTAAATAGGAAAAACAATTTGTGTTGATAGAAATCTATTGCTTCTCTGTGAAATATGTGTTATCCAATTATTGATGAGACTGATGAATCTTTGCTAGCCCCTCAGTCAACTGAGTTTGCCTTTTGATTATATCAGGGTAATCATAGACTTTAAACTTTAAACACACTCTTTACTATTAACTAATGCATTCCTTTCACCTTAGGAAGAATTTTTATATATATATTAAAAAGCTATGAAGAAAATAAGAGCATTAGTTCTTGTAGAGATGTTCAGCTTCATTAAATATCTAGAAACTGAAAACATTTCAAGTAATTGCAAATGGTTTTATTGGCACTTTTAGATTACAACTTGTTTTATGTTGCTGCTCATGAACTGGGCCATTCTCTTGGACTCTCTCATTCTAATGATATTGGGGCTTTAATGTACCCCAACTACAACGTCAATTCCTATGATGATATTCAACTCTCCCAGGATGACATCAATGGTATCCAGGCTATATATGGTGAGTACAAAGAAAACCATCCCAGACAAGGGGCCAGTAGATACACTATCTTTTAAGAAGCTGCCTTTCATTATTTATGTTCTTTTCACAAACCAGGCAGCACTAACTTCAGATCTATTTTTTCTTTAGGACCCTCTAAAAATCCCAGCCAGCCAACGGGCCGCCAAACCCCACAAATGTGTGATAGTAAGCTAACCTTTGATGCTATCACTACTCTTCGAGGAGAAGTGATGTTCCTCAAAGACAGGTAAGACATCAATTCTTCTTGTTTGGTGTTTGTAATAATAACAACATTCACTACTACATTGCTTATCTTACACTTGTTTACCCACATAATTATGTGATAGCACTTGATTGCATTGGAAAAACCTAATTAACTTATAGCAACTTTGTTTTCCCACATGTACTCTGCCATTTGACTCTCAGGAAAAACAAACAAACACCGAAGCAGAAAGTCAGTAAATATAATCCCATTTTACAGATCAGTAAAGTAAGGCATAGAGAAGAAAAGAGATCCTTTGAGGATACAAAGTTTATCTTCTGACTCCCTCCTTCTCCAAGGCTCTTGTAACTTATGACATTCTTTATGATGATCAGGATGTTAGTGCATGATTATGAGAAATCGGTTATTTTCATAGCACCATCATGCTGGTCCCCTTCCATTCTGGAAAAGATAATCCTCCCAAAGCCTGTGGTGGTGACAGGTCTCTGTTGCCTCCAGAGGCCCAAAGAGGGGCAGGAGCCCTTGCCAGAGAATCTCCATGCGTTCAGGAGACACCTCTCCTGGGTAGATGTGAGCAAACACAATGTGCTTCCCTCTTCAGGATCCTGGGTCTCCCTGTCAGCATGTGGCCTCAGGAAGGCTGGGGAGCCGTCACACATGAATAACAGGCCTGCCTTACACACTGTGCTGATTCCTAAAAGACCAGGCATCATCACTATATTTTCTTTTTCTGAATGATGCAGTCCACAGCACATAGAAAGTAGGGGTGCTCAGAAAGGCTCTAATCTCCTCTTTACGGAGTGTTGTTGGTGCTATTCTAATACATCATGGTCATATCTACCCCACAATGCAGGGCATTAACTGCTAAGGCTTTTTATCCCCTTCTGGACTAGTTTTGAGTGTAAAAGGTAAGGCTGGATATAAGCCACTGGGTGCAGCTCAGTGCTGGGGGTGCTCAGGAAATACATGGTGCTTAAGGAAAGCTCTCGGTATAGTAGAACCTATCCAAGCAAGTATAGGAAGGATTACTCCAATAAGACCAAGTCTAGGATTTTTAGGCACTAAAGGTAGATCCTGAGATCATGAAAGCATCACCAAGTCATGAAGACATGGAAGACTAGAAACAGTGACAGTAACTGACCTCCAAGGTCTCACAGAGGCTGGGGTAGGACCGAGGCAGGACTGGATCTAGAAGTCTATTTCTGGCTGCCACAGTCACAGTCTTTCCTGTGGCCTGGAATCTGGAAGTGCTTCGGACAGGCCAATGGCAGTCTATGTTCTGCTGTTTTCTCCAGTCACTATGGACTGTAGAATCAACATTGCAAACCACCAGCCTTAGCAAGACAAAGGGAGGGGCTGCCAGACCTGAGTTTAAAATTAACCTTTGTCTCACCAGCTGCCCAGCCTTAGATAGCTCCCATGGTCCCCCCCTGACCTTAACTTCTCACCTCTAAAAGGGGAGCAATGCTTTCTTGCAGGGTTTGTGTGAGATAGGACACCATGTAGGGAAGGCCCTGTGTTGGAAATGTACACTAGTGTAGAATGTTAGTGCTCTATTCCAGCCAGCGGTGTGCTGCAGCCGAATCCTAAGGGCTCATCAGAGCCAAGTTTTAAATTTTGAGAATTTTGCAATCTGGTTATTAAACTCGAACATTATTAAGAGTTAAGTTAGTTCTGGCCGGTGTGGCTCAGTTGGTTGGGTGTCATCCCATGCACCAAGTGCTCTCCAGTTTGATTCCTGGTCAGGGCACATGCCTAGGTGGTGGGCTCTATCCCTGATGGGGGGGATGCAGGAGGTAGATGATCAATATTTGCTCTCACATAGATGTTTCTTTCCCTCTCTCTCATTCCCCCTCTCTCTAAAAAAATAAAAATAAAATAAAAACCACAGAAGTTAAATTATATCAACTTATAATTATGTTTAGCCAAAGATAATAAAAATAATCCAAACTTACTTCTTTGGCCCTGGCCAGATGGCTCAGTTGCTTGGAGCATCACCCCATACACCAGAAAGTTGTGGTTCAAATCCCAGTCAGGGCACATACCTAGGTTGCAGGTTTGACCCCTGATAGAGGCACAAATAGAGAGGCAACCCATCAATGTTTCTCTCTCACTTGATGTTTCTCTCTCTCCCTCTCTTCCTCTCTCTCTCTCTCTCTCTCTCTCTCTCTCTCTCTCTCTCTCTCTCTCTCTCTCTCTCTTCTCTCTTTCTCTCTCTCTCTTTCTCTCTCTCACTTCCTCTCTCTAAAATCAATAAACATATACTCAGGTAAGGATTAGAAAGAACAACTCACCCTTTTGTAATTATTTTGTTACATTTTACTCTTTATTTATATTCCGTGGTTGTTTATGAATCCGTTTGGTGGCAGAAATACCATACAATGGTGTGATACTGCAAATCTCTTGAAATCTACCATGGTAGGAATATTTCAACCTGGGAATAAGCAAATGCAACAATCAGGACTCCACTCCGCCCTCACCTTGGAGAGCCAAGATGTTAAACATTTTACCAGCACACCACTACTTCCAGCAGTAAGGAGGAGTTGGACATCAACCATAACTTGCTATAGATTAGATTAAAAACCCTTTTCTCTTTTTTTCAAACCAGGTTCTACATGCGCCCAGGTTCTCACTACTCAGAACCTGAGCTCCATTTCATCAATGTCTTCTGGCCAAATCTGCCCAATGGTCTTCAAGCTGCTTATGAGTTTGCTGATAGAGATGAAATCCGGTTTTTCAAAGGTAATGCTTCCAATGATTGCAAGAATTAATTTTTCCTTGGCCGAAATAGAAGAGAGCTCCCCTCGTTTCTCTTTAAGGAATTTTAAAAATATAAGTCTCACCAAATCAATTAAGGGAGTCCATCGCCTTAATTAAGAATTGCACAGTGCATTTCTGAGTCATTTTAAATCAAAAGCATATGATTGAAAATATAAATGTTCTGGCCTGTTTATGACTCTGGACTTATAAAATTGTGTTCTATGAATACTAGTTATGTGTTTTAATTTTGAATTCTTGGGGTTGCTGAGAAATGAAATACAGAGACTTGGACCAATGCTGTAGAGGGGATGCAACAGAAGCACTTGAGATGTGTAATGTCCTAGAGCTATTTTTATATAAATGACAGACAGGGATGCTGTGTGCAGCCTTGCTGTCAAAGGATGATCCTCAGACCAACACCACTGACATGGCCTGGAGAGTTTGTTAGAAATACAGAATCTCACTCAGCAGAATGTCCTCAGGTCCATTCATGTTGTCAGATCTCATCAGACTTCCTTGAATTTTAATGGACTTTCCAGGCGATTTGTATGTACATCAAAGCAGGAGAGGTCCTGAAATTCCATGAATTGACTATCCCTGAGGTGGCCCCATGAACTCATGTCATGTCATGTCAATGCCTGGCTCCTGCTGGAAGTCCCCAACCCCATAAATCAGCCATTCTCAAAGATGCTGCATATTAGACTCATCAAGAAAACTTTTAAAAAATATATTGATGTAATTTGTCTGTGGTTGGATACCAACATCTGTATTTTAACAATCTTCCTAGTTAATTTCACAGACTAGACCAGGACCCTGCTCTAGTCTGTGAAACTAATTTAAGAAGAAATCTGCTCACTGCCTACTGGTGTTTTAATCCCTGTTTCTTGATTGGCAGGCAATGAGTACTGGGCTGTTCAGGGGACGGAAATGCTGCCCGGATACCCCAGAAGCATCCACAGATCCTTTGGCTTCCCTAGAAGTGTGGAGAATATCGATGCTGCTGTTTTTGAGGAAAATACTGGGAAAACATACTTCTTTGTTGCTGACAAAATCTGGAGGTAAAGAAAGAAGTTAGGGCACCAGATTTCTCTCATAGAAAGAAAGTTCCAAATGGAATCACTCACAGATGATTCTTATATTGCCTTGGCTAGCTGCCTTTTCTATGAATGGCTGTAGCCAGTCAAGCATCCAAGACTCTTGATCAATAATCATCTTACAATACCTGTCCCAGGAATTCAGGGATCAGTTGGGGGTGACTTTGAAAAAGAAGTTGAGAAAGAGAGAGAGAGAGAGAGAGAGAGAGAGAGAGAGAGAGAGAGAGAGAGAGAGAGAGGTACTTTAGCCAAAAGAAACTTATGTTTAGTCACATTATATCTTAGTAAGATATTGTGTGGCATCATCTGGAAAATTAGGTTTAGATGCTCGAGTTTAGAGGGACCTTATGAATCTTCTAGTCTACCTAACATCCTACCTCACCTCATCCCACCCTCATCCCCATTGTACACATGATCTATGAAATTAGTTCTTATTACTTTCTTGTTGGTGAATACCCTATAGTGATTTTGAGAAGGCTACTTGTTTAACAAATGGTCTGACATGTTTAATCATTTCTGGATCAGGTATGATGAATACAAACAATCCATGGATGCAGGTTATCCCAAACAGATAGCAGCTGACTTTCCTGGAATTGGCAACCAAGTTGATGCGGTTTTCCAAAAAGATGGTAAGTGAATATATACCTATTTCCTCTCTTTTATTTTTTGCCATAGAATAGTATCAGTATTATTATTTAGAATAGCAAATGCCAAAAAAAGATTTGTTCTCACACATGACTTGGGTTTTTTAAGAATTCAAGTTAAACCTAGAAATTACTTGTGTAATTGTACTAAATACCTTTTGTTTTTCTAGGATTTCTCTACTTTTTCCGTGGAAGGAGGCAGTACAAATTTGATCCTAGAACGAAGAGAGTTTTGACTCTCCTGAAACCTAACAGCTGGTTCAACTGTAGATAAAATTGATCAACTATTTCAACACTGAACAGAAAAAATGTATTTCAAGAGCACAAGGAAAGAATTTTCCTGAAGATCCATATATATATATATTTTTTTTAATTCATAGCTATTTAGTATAATTTATCTATACCTCATTCTGCATGATTTAGAATGCAATGCTTTGTGTACTTTTATAACTTACTTCTATAAATGAGTGCTAAGAAAGGTCAAGTTTCATAGCTTATCGATACATGTGGGCCAACTTTGCAAAGAGAGAAGCTCTTTTACGAAGTATAAGACTCAGCATCACACCTGGGAGTAGCCACAGTGATGAATGTCTCCTCCCACGAAAGGAAGAGGCAGACATCAGAGTCCATACCAGAGAAAAAGCAGTTTGAGAAAAAGTGCGCAGCCACTACCTACCATCACCCTGAAATGCCAGGGACAGCTTTCCTTACAGAAAATAAAATGTTTTATGTTTGGCCATCCTTGTCGCTACTGTTTTATAAACTTTCTATTATGGTTAAGTTGTAATACCGATTATAATGATTATAAGGCCCCACTCACAGAGCTTAATTTTCAAATTTGAAATGAGAGGTAGACAACCATGCAAAATATTCATGTGGGAAACCTGGAAATACAACAACTTCAAATATTTTTCATTCTTATGGAATTTATATCATATAGAAGGGGGAGAGTGTCTGTTTTCCATGCTCCATATTAGGATTCTAAAATTAATTCTCGGTAAAGCAGTAGCAGCATGGTAGAGTTTTCTAAGGGTACAGTCTTCTCTCTTCTTCTGGGCACACAGGAGGGTTATGTTTTCCTACCTCCAACTTCCTGAAGTTGGTGTGGGGAAGGATGGACAGTGGCATCTGACTAGTACTGGCCAGTGGATGGTGCCTGGAAGTGACTAAGATCACTTCCAGATGGAAACATCTGATTTCTGATGCAAATTTCTCCAGGGGTCTCCCTCCTCTGCTGTGCCGATTTTAGAAGCATGGCTTAGGAGAGTTTCCACAAGATGGAAGAAGCCTGAATTGCTGGGCCACTACTCCAAACAGTTACTCCAAACTTCAATCTTTTATTGTGTTAAGCTACTAAGTGTCAATGTAAAAAATGTCCAAACCTGTAAGAATTTTTATGAGTTTGAGCCTAACTGATGACAATTGGCCAGGAAGCAGTATCTCAACAAATGGAAAAAAATCCATTGATGATAGCTTAGATAGGCAGGAGAAAGCAAAGTGGGGACACAACTGGGATTAGATAAAAAGTAGAGTAAATACACACATTCTTCTTTTACATTGGTGGGAATAGGATAGTCAACCGTCAACGATTAATACAATAACAATGAGATTTGTGGTCTCTACTCTGGTTCTATGGTTATGCTTTGAGGGGTCCAGAAAAAAAAAAAAAAAAAAGGAAATTACATTGATATTCCTGATAGATCCTCCCTTCCCCCAACTGATGGACAGAGAATGACATAAACTCCACCTGCAGTCCAAACATTCCTGTGCACCTAACCAGGCACCTTATACAGACTATACATTGAACCACCAATCAGCACCTGCCAAATACCCTAAGCCCCCTGTGAGATTCTCTCTCCCCCCAACTGGTGGGTAGAGTTATGACATTACTGAAATCTGTCACAGAGACATCCACAAGACATTGAACCACCAATCAGTGCCTGCCAAAGTGTCCTGGAGCCCACCCCTTCCTGTTCTACCCTAGGTCCAACCCTCTTCTGTTCCTCCCCTTAAAAAGACCCCCAGACCAGCGACATATTGCTTTTCCTCTATGTCCATCTGGAGGCAGCCTGACTGAGTCCTCTCTCCCCTCTCCACTCCTTTAATTCTGATTTCTCTACCTCCGTAATGAATCCTGCTCATTCCTGGGGAATAAACTTTACTTTAAAATGTCTTGGTGGTCAGTTTTCTGCACCTCAAACCTTACACCCTCCTGATTCCTAAGTCCCTAATTATGTGCCTTATATGAAATCACCAATCAGCATGTGCCTAGTCCCCTAAGCCCCATCCCTTCCCTTTCCTCCCCTCAAAAGGTGCCTTCACCCCTACACACTCTTTCTTTCTCCTTTGGAAGGCAGCCAGGCAGGGGTCTTCTTCAATAAAGCCTGTGTCTCTGGCCCTCTGTTTCATCTTTCAATTTCAAAGGTGTGTTAGCAGGTATGTTATCATAGATGTGAAAAAGACTACAGACTCGGTTAAGGTAAAGCTTGACCTTTGTTAGGAAAAAATACTGACCTAGGACATGACTATACACCAGGAACTGCTTTTAGTTAGGAAGTTTTAATTAAAGACTACCCCGTGTAGTTAGTATAGTCTCTGAGTTTGTAAGGTGCTACGCAGGCCTCCCCTGAGCTTGTCAGATTTGGTATGTTAATGGGAAAACACACACACACACACACACACACACACACACACACACACACATATTGAAACCTATAAAGAATTTTTGTGAGTTTATTTGAGCCAAACTGTCGACATATGCCAGGAAGCAGAACCTCAACAGATTTGAGATAATGCTCCGGAGTATGGCGGGTTACATTTGTATTTATACATTGCAATCAAAGGAGGGACATAGGTGGGTTACATGAAATTCATTGGTAATGGATTAAGGAGGTGGGATAATGCAAAGCAGAGAAACCCCTGGGATTGGATAAAAAGTAAAATGGTGGACACTTAGGTGGGTGCAGGAATAATTAACATGATAAAGAAGGAATTTGAGGCATCTGCCCTGGGGCCCACCACATTTAGTTGTGCCACAGGGGCTCCAGAAAAAGGGAAGTTATAAGTTACCTAGACATTTCAAAGGTATGTTATCATGGGTGCAAAAAGACATCTCAGTTAAGGTAGGCTCAGGTAAGGTAAAGGTTGATCTTGTCAGTGAAGATACTGACCTAGGATGTAACTGCCCACCATAACTGCGTTTAAAGTTTAATTTCAGACCATCCTTTGTGGTTACTTTAGGTCTGAGTTTGCAGGATTGTCACGCAGGCCTCCCCTAAGACTGTCAGAATTGTGGCCCCTTTCGTCCACAAGTATGTGACCTCCTTTGCATCCACATAAGATTTTAGACTTTGTTAAAGCTGCATAATCTAGTTTTTCTAGACAAGTGTTGTCTAGTCTACCATGCCTAATTTGGGAGGGTGTTAATATACTTAGAGGGCATACAGGTAGCTTCCAGTGTGAGTTTCGAGTTGCTCAGAAGGTGCTCATGTAACCAGACAATCAATGAGTCCGTGCTGCCTGTCACTACTGAGCCAGTGAAGCAGAGACAGGGTTGAATCATATATGAGTCTTTATTCCAAATCTGCGGGCAATATGAGAAAGCAGTAGGTCATCCACAAAAATCTGCTCTGCACCCCACCACAAACCAGCTGCTTATATTGGGTAGAAGGACAAAGATTACATGGGGAAGTAGGCAAAAAATATATGCCAAATGGACAGTCTACAGGTAATGGGGGCTGGAGATTTGCAATGGCCTGCGGATGGTGGCCTTCAAAGGGGTAATGATATACCAAGGCTGGGGGTCTTCAAAGGGCTGGCAACTCTGGTTTCTGCAATAAGGTTGTTAACCTGATAATAGTAAGGTGACCAGATTTTAACATTGGTAAAGTGGGACACCATTGACTGGGGGAGGGTTCTTGATTAAAAATTTGGTCTATATGGAGCAATAAAAATTTTCTTAGAACGCAAAAATAGTATTGTAATATATTTTTAAAATTTCAACATAAGTACAATTTATAAATACAATAAATATATTAAAATTATGTATAGTATTATTTTATTCTTTGGCATATTTCTCATTTGAGTGAATTCTAACAACTGATCAACAATGCGAACTTTGATAAGCAGTTCTCGATAATCAGTTCTCAACAATTATGTTATTATTGAAGTTTAACATTATAAAATTAACAAAAATAATATAAAACTCATATCTTGGCTAAATAGCTACATGGCCTCTGAAAACCGTATATTCCCTTCCCATTCTCCTGTGGTTCCCTAGCTTGTCGTGCATTCTTTCCAAAAATCAGGACTTTTTTAAGATGCCGCAGGACGCAAGACAAATTGTTAAAAATTGAGACTGTCCCGCCAAAAGTGGGATGTTTGATCACACTAGATAATAGGCAGATGGGCAGCATTTCCAGGTGAGCTCCCAGCCAGGTTACAATGTGCCTTCTTTAATTAGAATAATATTTCTTATAATTCTAGTTAGTCCCTAATATTCAATTTCTGCTTCTGTCACTCACAGTAATTGGCCAACTCTCTCTCTCTCTTTAGGATGCATTTTTATATTGATGTATTAATATAACATGAATGCAGAAAATATACATGTCACAAATGTTCATATCAATGAGTTATCACACAGTTAACAATAAATAGAGCATTACCAGCATCACAGCAGGCCCCTCTGGAGTCTCTCAGCAATGGTCAACTCTGTGTTAGCTCAGCTCACTCGAGTCAGAGCCTGAAATGGGAATTTTTCATTGTGGCCACAGAAGAGAAGTGCTCAGGGGAGAAGAGGAGTGGGGGAAACATCCTAGAGCAGAATAAAATGCTAAATGGTAATTTATGTGGCCTCAGGCAGAAATTATTCTGATCTCTCAGGAGCAGGGAGCTCCCAGCAAAAACTGAATCACAATTGGTCTCACCTTGAGGCAAAGGAATGGACCTTTTGTGCTGCTGTGTCAATTAATCATCAGTTGAGATCTGGTTTCTCGAGGGGAGGGGCTAAGCTCCCAGACCAGATAGTTCCTGTCTGACAAGGGAACACTGGGAGCTGAAGCCACCGGCCCTCACAGTAGCCAGGAGGATGGCTGCCCTGGGGCTAATGACCTGGAAAACAGCACAGGAGTATCCACTCCATATTCTCTATTGCTCAAAGGTAATCACTTCTTTGACGTGTAATGTCTTAAATTTGTCTATTCTTGAACTAAATTGAATCAATTATATATTCCCTTTGATATGCCTTACTGTGCTCAGCATTATGCTTGTGCATTT